CCTTAGACCGCTCGGCTACCGTGACCGGCAATGTATAAGAATAATATATAAGAATTCAGTTCGTACCTCACAGGAAACAGATCCGAACCCAATATCCCGGTTTCCAAGCGAGCGAAGACAGTACATGCCTTAGACCGCTCGGCTACCGTGACCAGCTAGAATGTAATTGACCCTGTGTAATTACGTGAAATTGCGGAAACCATGTGAGAACGACGTAACATATAGGCCTCCACCTCGTCAGATAGCACACATCCGCAGTCACAAACTGTATACAGTATAGGTGCACATAATGATTCATTTTGTACTCCCAAAAAACACCTTGCATCTCCAATAAAAAGACCGATAGGTGGCAGCTGTATTATGTATTCTGAGAAACACATGAAACCTATATAATAGTCTGCGAGTAAAGTGCAGGGTCCTTTTAACTTTAAAGTAGTTAGTACAGATAATTGCCACTGTTTTAAAGGGTTAATTAACTTTACAGATACGCATCTGAACGTTCATAACATATAAAATACTCATAGAGACCAAAAAGAGGTCTGTCTTGTGGGATACAACGCCATGTAGACCGTTCAAAGTCAACCTACATTTCGGAGGAAAATGTCGCCTCCATCTTCAGGGTCGAAAAATAAACCAGACAAGAAATCAGCGTGAAATCGTGTGGCTAGCAGAGCCTAAATTCTCAAATCGTCGAATGTATCGATTAGTAGCCTCCTATACAGGATCCGCTCTGTAGTGTTTGAGGTTCTGACACCGGTGGTTATGAAGAGGTCTATCTTGTGGGATATGAGGTCGTGTAGTCCGTTTGAAGTCTTATTGCTACCTGCTTTCATGCTGGTATCCTACTTCACTTATTCTATGACCCTGAAGATGAAAGCGACAGGTTCCTCAGAAACGTCGGTTGACTAAACGGCTTTATATCCCAGAAGATAAAACCCTTCATGACTGCAGCTGTGAGAACCCGAAATCCTATAAAGAGAAACATGTAAACAAGTTCTGTAGGCTGTAATATATCTGCGAGTTTTTCAGATTGTGATACATAAAGTTATACGTACATGAAACATTTTATTTCTCTCTATACGCCTAATACTATGCAACTTATGCAACAGCGCAGCTTCGGGTAGTGTATAAGTAGCGTGTGTCGGTCCGAGCGTTCAGACCCAGGGTGAAACAGTGGACGAGAGAGAGATATCGGTTGACCGCAATGACGTCATTGCCGTCTGATGTCAAATCGGATACATAATAGCGTACAAGAATTTCCATATTCTGACCTTCAGTTCACTGGAGGGTGGTGACCCAAAAAGTATATAAAGTAAAGGAAGGTTCCTTATAAAGCACTACATAACCCACGTTTTATAAATGAATTGAAAGGTTATAATGAACTAAATACCTTGGGCTGCACTGTTTGCTTTAAGAAGTACTTATCCGTATGAAGAGAAGTGGTATATAGTATTCTCACCAAATAAGGCTTAACGTGAAATAATACGGGGCGATTACAACTAATTTACGCGAAATTCATAATAAAGCCCACTGTCATATGGACAAATATTTGTCTGATGTTTCGAATAGTCTAAAACGAGGGGATGTTTTATCGTCATAACTCTTTAAATTTGTCTCTAGGATATATCATTGGAAAGATACAAGAAAATCAAAGGCTAACTTATCGGTGTTGTACAGAACACAACATATTCTGCATTATGTTGAGGATGATAATATATATGGTGAAAATATAACACCACGAAGGAAAAAAATAACTTATGCTAAACACTAGCAATGAGGTTGATTTATATGTAAACTCAGAGGAAAACGAGTTAAGTCCTGCATTTTCATGTTTCCTTCACAGAATATATGAATAAAATCTTAAAAAAATAGGTAGCCAAAATATTCCCTTCGAATTGCATCAAATTTCGATTTTCTGAAATGAAAATAACGAAATAAAATTATATATAATATGAAGATTTCACTGCAAGAGTTTACAATGAAGTCTTTTTGGGCGACCAGCCGTGTCAAATGAGTTCGTATCAGATGTTTCGGAGACTGTCTGAAGAGACAGACAGTCTCTGAAACGTCGGATACCAACTTTACGTTAAAACGGATGATAGCTCGAAAATATTTCATTGCAAATCAAAATTATATTCTATAACAAGTAAAGGAAGGATTAAACTCAGAGAATGCTTGTTCTTATTCAGTTTGGCAATTGCTAATTTCCCACATATTTAGTAGAAATGTATGTTACAATTACGATTACACCTCCGAGGAATTCATAAACGGAATGAGATGTGAATTGTAATCTACTTTATAGATGTTAATTGTTATCGATAAATATTGTACAGGGTGATTCTAAATTACTACCGGGTTTTCCGTGGTCTATAATTTTAAAACCGGGAGTAACAAAATAAAACTGCTTACGGAATATGACAGTCTAAGTCAATCAAGAAAACAATGTGGCCAGTACAACGTTAACAATTAAAACTATTTGAATTACACTTTCATATTCCATAAGCATTTTTATTTTGTTTTTCCGGTTTGAAAATTATAGGTCACGGAAACCCTGACAACAATTTAGAATCATGCTGTATGATGTTATTCCAAAAAACTCGATAGTACTACGAATTTAAATTATTAATAATCTTGTATTATCTTCGCAGACACACTTTAAAATTAGTTCCGGTTTATTCTTAAGACCAAGGCCTCCATTTTCGGCGTTAATACGGCCGGAATTGAAGTTGATAACTCATTTTCTTCCGATGCCCAGATCAAGAATGGCGGAGTTATAACTCAGCTTCCCCATACATCTTATGGCGAGATCCATAACTAATTATGCATAAGGACAACTTTACCTTCTTTTCTATTCTGAAGTGCTGAAAACTCCGAACACAGGATATTACAAATATTTTGAAGACATTTTTATTTGGTTATTTCGAAGAATGGAATGAAGATTATGAATAGCCTTGAGAATTGTGTAAGCACATTAAAAGCCATATTGACATTCGGTGTTCAAGAGAGGGTATTATTACGTAAATATATTCAATTTCAATTATAAAAATCTTGCCTTTGTAGTTGATAGTGCAGCAATAATTGCAATAAATTGTAAAAAAATAGGGCACTGCAGGCTTGTCTTTATTACTGGATATTATCACTTAAATTGATTCATTCTATCATTGATTGATTCATTCATTCATTCAACCCATTCATCAGTGGCTCTACATCCCTTTGTTGGGCCCTGATCTCTTCTTCAGTTTCGTAATCTTTCCACACAGATGACAGGACACCTTGGACGAGTGATCAGCCCGTCGCAAGGCCGCTACCTACACACAGGACAACACAGATACAGAAAATAGGCACATAGAGACATCCATGTCTTGAGTGAGATTCGAAACCACGATCCCAAATTTCGACCCAGCGAAGATAGTTCATGCCTTAGACCGCGGCCACTGTGATCGGCTACTATTACTTAAATAAAGCCGTGAGTTGTAATTAGAAAGCAATTATCTATTGCAGTTGATATCCGAGTAAGATAATGTGTAATGTTTAAGAATGAGAGGTACTTGTGTAACTTACGCAGGTTCAAACCCATTAGAACAACCCGATATCGATATGGAACTCAACATACATTTGATACATTGGCTATACGTAATACGTATATCTGGATGTAAAGAAACATGTTCAATAATTATTAAAAGTTTTGTTTCTCATTCAAAGCTGCACTCTGAGAGTCAGTCATACGTAACAAAAGAACAGAAATGGTGAAGATTGGAGAGCATAAGCTGATTACTCTCCTACGTACAGCCCTCAGTATAAAAATGCGTAAAGCTTTAATTCACTATGCTCTACGCTTCCAGACTGGAAGCCGGGATACTGCATTCGGTATAGTGACAGGCTACGGACTGGACGGCTGGGGTTCGATTGCCGGCAGGGGCAAGAGATTTTTCTCTTCCACACAACGTCCAGAGAGGCTCTGGGGCCCAACCAGCCTCCAATCCAATGGGAACCACGGGCTCTTTCCCCGACGGTAAAGTGTCAAGGTCAAGAATGACTGAACTATACTTCCACTCCTCCACACACTACATGGCGTACCTTTTTTTTTTTCATTGGCACTACAGCCCCAGTGGGCCTAGGCTTACCGCCATGAACTTTTCCGTTCACTTCGGTTTTTCTAGATCTTACACATTCGGTAGGACTCCTTGGGCGGGTGATCAGCTCGTCGCAAGGCCTCTATCTGTACACAAACACAGAAAAACGCATACACACAAATTAATATCCATGCCCTGAGTGGGATTCGAACCCACGATCCCGGTTTCCAGGCGAGCGAAGACAGTGCATGCCTTAGACCGCTCGGCTACCGTGACCGGCAGTGTATAAGAATAATATATAAGAATTCAGTTCGTACCTCAGAGGAAACAGATCCAAACCCACGATCCCGGCTTCCGAGCGAGCGAAGACAGTGCATGCCTTAGACCGCTCGGCTACCGTGACCGGCCTACATGACGTATTCCTTATTTAATTAAGCTCGGGGACAAATTTACCTTCATCTACGCTTCCAGATTTTAGTGGTTAGGGGCACTATAGACCTGCATGTATAAAACAGTTAATATTTCCTATGTCTGAAAATACGCAGAAGCATGAAACCGTAAATGCTGGCTCTTACTCTGAATATACCAGTGGTCTTTAGAACGAACAAAGAACGGAGAATTGCTTTTGAAACAGGCTTCCATTGAATTATGAATACACACTTGTACAGCAACCTTCGGTTAAAAATATATCCTAATTTGTATTTTTTCAGTGCCTTTAAGAAACATTTGCATAAGTAAGTACTTTGTTTCGTTGGAGACTTAAGATGTAGCGAGCGGAAGCACCTGCACGGCGCGGCAGCAGCGGCAGAGGCAGCTGATGAGGGCGATAACAGCGTTGCAGTGCGCGCGGCGGTCACTTCAGTATGCGGCCATGCGCTGTTACGTATTGGGTTTCTTGCCATACGTCCTGTGCTGGAGCACCGGCGCTCTCCTCTCGGCCACACATACCACACGCAATAATGACTGACCCGTATAATGACGTCAAGTTCGATGAGGGTAGAGTTACGTTTCTGAATGAGGTGAAGCCTGGAGAGGAGCGAATTTGTTTGTGAACGAAAAGTGCTGTCAAGTTACTGTAAATTAATTTCAAAGTGTGAATTCTAAACATGGGGAACAATGTTTATTTCGTTATTTGTGTGTAGCTACGAAAAGGATTTCAGTGAAGAGTACATTCAAAATGACTAATATGAAACTATAACAAGAGAAAGTTTCCAACACAAATACTGCAAAAGACATCTTAATCATAGATACGAACTTTTTATGAAAAATATAATCAAACTAAAGAATTCAATAGTGGTATGATAACTTAACGTCTTCAGAATAATATTTTGTGGTTGTTAATAAAGATGGGTTTCAATTGTGACCATTAAACTGTTTGTGACGCTGTACATTTTACTGTGTGTTAGCTGTGTCAAAGTTTCAATAAGACAGTACAAAACAGGAGTATAGGAAAGATCTACAGTTTTGAATCTATTTTATTCAAATACCTCCAAATTTTTTCTTGGACGTTTTAAGAGTTGCGTAGTTAGAGCAGGTTGTCTTCGAGGACATTATGTTTGGAAAATGACCAGCATATTGATATTCAATATACATGTCTATAATTTTAAAATATTATGGAACAGACCCGAATTAATTATGAGAAAAAACGTAATTTAAGAGGCGTAAAATTTGATCTGATGTAAGTTTTGAACATTCTCTTATATTCGCGGACTTTATACCAGATTCGTCACTCTCAAATATTTACAATTTTGGCTAAAACCACTTCGTTGTCCCGTTAGGAGGCGAATTACATACAAAAAAGCCAAAAGTTTTAGTGCATGCCAATAACTTGCTGAGAATTCTGAATATATCGCTGTACCTATACAATGCCTGCAGTGGCCCGTTCAGTGGAGTCCAACAGCAACGCCAGCAATTCATCATATGACAGAGAGAGAGAATTCACTGCTCTATATCAAGAAACAGGATTCACCGACGTTTCAAATCTTGCATTCACTGTATTACAGAAAGACAGTCTTAAAGGAAACTCAGACGATGAAAGCGATAATGACCAATCTTCAGACGTAGAAGGTGAAACCGGAAGTGAAAATATTACAAATAAACAAAAGATTTCCAGTAGATTCAACAGTAGTGATCGGGACCATAAAATATTGAACCGATCAAATGCATACCTTCTACAGCAAAAACTTATAGACTTGAGCAAATCAAACTCAAGCTTCAAAAATCATAAACTTCAAAATAAATCTAAAATCTTTGGTAACGTAATCAATAATCTTAGAGAGCAGAAGGCTTTAAGTAAGTCTAACGGCCATCTACCCTACCAAGAGAAATATCAGCATAAGAAAGACGCAAGTAAATCGTTCAACAATATACAGCGACAGAATAACAACGAAAGTGAAAAGAAAACTGAGAAAGAGCACAAGAATTACCACAGATATTGCCACCTTTCCGGCACTAACTATCTGTACAACAATATGACTTCAGTAAAACAGAGGCCGAATTATGAGATGGAGTATTCGAATCTCCCAGATGCAAGAACACAGAACAATGAGACGGAAATAGGAAGACGAAAAAATCCATTGGGAACAGAATCTTACAAAACAATGAACCGCAACAATAACAATAACAATATTAACGGTACAAAGATTAACGAGAAGAACAGCCATTACTACGGTAGTAATTACACCAAGAACAGTTACACCAATAATATTAAAATTAACGAAAAGAACCGACTCAACAACGACGAAAACAGGAAACCTGTATTCATAACAACAGTGAAAACGGGGAAATTTCTGGACCCACCACCAGAGTTGGCGATTTTGTTGGGACTGAGCCCCAATCTGAACGACTCTGTAACGAGTTCTACTGATGGCAGCAACAATTCTCTGAACACCAGCACCAGGGAGCGTCACCAGCAACAAGCACTGCTCTATTCCTTTTCCAGCCAGCCTCGAGTCCTGCATCAACACTATCACAAAGCCAAGTGCGACGCGGCAGCTAAAGTTCCCAACAGCACGCAACAGAGGGTTCGCAGAGAAGCCATAAACAACAGTATTCAAGACAAGCTGTGAGTAACAAAATCATTTGATCATTCAATGTAAAAATTATTGCAGTGTTGTATTTATTTATGGATACAGGAACGAGAGAAATGAGAAATGCATACGTAATTTTGGTAGTGAAACTTGAAGATAAAAGAGCACTTGGGAGATCTAGATGCAAATGGAAGGATAATATTAAAACTGATCTTAAAGAAGTCAGCTGATAAATTGTGGATTACATTAATTTGGCTGAGGACAGGGAGCAATAGTTGTAATTTGTGAAGAGAGTAATACACTTTCAGCATTCATAAAGTTCCAGGAATTTCTTAACTAGCTTAAAATATATTACTGCAATATCGGTTTTGTCCATGACAGAGGCCTACTGTAGTAGCAAGGAGTAGGAGTATTGTGATACAAAGAAATTGCTGGTTTTTTACTACCAAATATTGCGTAAACATTATACATGCTGAGAGATATCTTGGAGATGGGCTTATTATGTACTAAACTGTCAAAAGTTGCATGGCAAGGGAAGCGCTAATTTTTAAGAAATACATCTAAAAATTATTCCGAATTTATGTCGCACAACTGTTAAAATATTAAGCATTGTGTATAGACGTTTTTCATTTGGCAGCCCATGTGTTGCCGTATTATAACCTGTGTGACGTTTGGGGGGTTTGCGGGAACAATAAGAGCGGTGGAAGACAAACCACTTAGTTTGTATTTGTAGTTACTACAACTCACACTAAGCAGCGTCGAAAGGGCCACGCCATAGCTCAAGCGGTTAGTCGCTGGCTTCCCGGGTTCTATCTCGGGTCTGGTCAAGTATGATTTGTGGTGGACAAAGTGGCGCTGGGGCGGTTTTCTCCGAGTACTTCGGTTTCCCCTGCCAATCTTCATACCACCAAATTCTCCATCATCATAATCATCGGGGCAGGTACAATAGGCCAATCAGTGACCGCCGTACCGAGTGGACCCAGCTGGACTCCAACACCCACCCCCCACTATGGGAATTAAAAAAAGTAGCGTTAAAAATATACCGATGAAAGTTCTGATAAAATTCTTGAAATTATTTCTTACCGGAATTCGAAGGGCAAAGACAGATCAGTTACTGTCTATTGGGCTCTTGGTGTCGAGCCCCGGCTTGGGCCATGACCAGATGTTTCTCTTTAGATGAAAGTTACTGTCCTGTCCACGTGGGGCGCCCTCTCTAATGAGAGGTCGGGTCTGTCATTTGTCAGTCATAGTCGATAGTATTAATCCATTCTCACTATGTACACATATTTGCGATTGAGTCTTGATATCTAATATGTATAATACGTATATACAAGGCCTCTGTCAATTCAGACTCAGTACAGCAGATTATATCCCACTTCCAGTAGTATTCGCTACCACGGCAGTCTAGTCACTTGAACGGCCGTATGCCTGACCGCCGCCAAGTTTTCGCCTCTTATACTTTCTGTGTCGGACTTCGCCTTGTCCGATGTTGAGAAACATTCTCATTATCATGATTTTGTACGATTTCTGTTTGTTGCCTGCATAATTTTATTATATGGTCATATACGTACCGGATTTTGAAAGCCATGTGCAAATCGCGGACCGGTGTGCGCCATAGAAAATTGCCAATGGTGCGGAAAGCCTTGTTTTGCAGACACTGCAATTTCACTAGATGAGTGTGTGCCGCGAATACCCAGGCTCTCTTGTTATTATTCTGCTAACTCTTTGTTATTACCACTTTGCACGGACTGCAGAGAAAACACCGTTTCCAACAATATCCCTATTGTTGTGTGTTACCAATCCGTTAGTTAGAGAATGTTTTTCTATTGTTGCGTGTGTATTCGTTACGGGAATGTGTTTACGGAGCCTTTCCCTAGAAACGAGTTGCTTACCACCGTAATTTATTCGCCTGTGGCGCAGCACCGGCTGTACGTGTTAAACTATGTTACTGAGAGAGGGGAGGTGCTTACTTATTGCTGAACGGCGAGTTTCATAATTTAAAGTGATAGAATCAATGGGAGAAATGAGATGAAAGGGACGTGCGTAACACGTGGAGGAAAAGAGAAACTAATTGAAAGATTTGGTTGGAAAATCTGAAAGAAAGTGACCAAAAGGGGGACCTAGGTATAGTTTGAAAGTTAACATTAAAATTAGTTTTAGGAATTAGACATATGCGGTGTGGACTGGATGTAACTGGCTCAGGCTTTGGTGGGCTCCTGTAAATATACATATACAAGGTTACGCAGATCAATGCACTACCGGCAGCTTAGCCCCGAGGTTAATGGGTAAATGCCCGCTTAGTAGTCCTGCCTCTTCCCCACACCCAACACAATCCTAAACTGACTTTGCCTACTACCTTCTGGCCTATCTCCACAGACCCTTCCCCTTTCCCCTCTATTGTTTTCAATGTAGCCCACTCGCCCTTCCTTCCTGTTCTTATGTAGATGGGTGTTTTTGACTGGTGACTCAGTCAGCAGCCACCTGCTAAAACTGGTTCCTCCCTCGCGGATTTTTCTGCACTGAAGATGGAGGCGATACTTTACTCCGAAACGTTGGTTCACACAAGATTTACATGGCGCCACATCCAAGAATACGGCATTATTTATATATAGATTATTTGTGTTCAGATAACCGAAATCGTTATACAGAACCTGGGCTTTTAGGAGAGTGAATATTAATATTGTGGTGTTATGACACAGTGTAGACTGGAAGATGGTTACCAGTGTTCCAACACTGAAGATGGAGACAGTATACACTGGTAAACACGTACCAGGTTACACGGTGTCAGAACCTAGAAGACTACAATATGAACGGAAACTGTTGTTTCTTTGCTGTATGCATTGTAATAAGAAGAACAGCGTCTCCAGCTAATCACGAACGTATATTTGTTGATTTCAGGTTTTGAAAGTCGTTAAATGCTGATATTAATTCTGTTCTCGGGTTGTTGTACCGTGTGGTTATCGGCGATATTGTCGACGTTTCGGAAGTACATACTATCTATGTTTCAGAGATGCTATGTATACAAAGCGTTCTGTTTCGATAAGAAATGACGGGATTTGGGACGAAGCTGGAATTGGTGTCCAGACGAGTTTCCAATCATTTTTTCAAAACGAAATGCTTTACACACCCAAAAACTCACCAGTACACTTAAACCTGAAGACAGAGGTTACACATGCCTCCCCAAGGACGACAACATCGCCCATAACCACACGGGAACAGAGAGTTTATAAATTTTGCCTTTTGTAATGAGACCAAAATGTAATGATACTATGAGATGGAGACTGCATAAGAGTTTATTGGGGGGTGGGGGGGGGGTTACGTTGATTGAAGTGAAGGGAGGATAACAATAATTTATTGATTATTGAAGGAGCGTTACTTATACGCTTCTTTTACGACAAATATACAAGAAACGTCGCTGAAGTGTCAATAATTAAAATTGCTTGAAAAGGTCAATATAACTTTTGGCATATAAATGTTCTAAAATTATCACTTGTACTATACGACAAGAGAGTGGAAAGTAAAATCGATAGGAATTAAGTTCACGGTAATCGATATGAGAGCTCTCTTGCCTCTTTTAGCACGAAGAACAAACTGCGAAGCGCCGGAAGAGATGAAACGAGGACGCATGAATTAGTAATAATGTCCAACTGTACCTAGCGCATGCGCTCGATAGATCGAAACTCGCGACTCTGATGCTTTCACATGTTTCAGACTAATGCTGAGCCAAGAAAGCTCAAGTACACATTACACTGAGAGGGAGTTTTTGCACGAAGCACTTAAAGTGATAGTATAGTGGGGAAGTTTAGTCTCTCTTTGTGTTTCAACCCACAAAGCACTCAAAGGATTTCGACTAAATTTATCACCACACTAAAATTATTAACTGAATTTCATTTTTGTATGTGTTGGCCCAGTGTGTTTCTACTGTTTTACTCAGAGCTCAAATCTGAGTTAATCAATTGTCTGTAGAAGGTTCACACGCATTACGTCCATCATTTAAGCCAGTTTTCGGTTTATGCAGTAAAACTGACGTAAAATAAAAGAAGCATCATGCAAAAACAGAAACATTTCGTCGCTAAATAAACGTATTTTATTAAGGCCACACGTATAAAAAGTAAAAGTAAAGATATCCCTGTAACCGGCTGTGGAGGCCCATAGGGTTGTGAGATGTTGAGGTTCCCACATTTTCTAGACAATCGGCTCATAGATGGCGGCAAGGTTATCAGCCTTACACGCCGGCAGCCCTTAACCCCCAAGAAAATTCCAAGAATATTCCTGGTACTCCTTTCTATTAGAGGCTGAGTCGACCCCAGGGCCACAGTGCAGCTGGAAAGATTAGATAATTTGAAAAATCCAATGACCTCTCGGGATTTGATCCTGCGACCTTCCGGCTTGTAGCATAGTGCCTCAACCAACTACGCTACCGTGAAGACCACACAAGGTCTTTAAATATCTGGAAAGCCACATGTATATTTCCAGATATTTAAAGACTTTGCAAATATCTCACGAAACAAAATGCAAAAATTATTTAAGCACTTAGGTATTTACTATCACGAATGGAGAATACGTTGCTCAAAAATTATTTATAAATAAAAACTTATAAATGATAATAATAAAAATAATTAAAATATATAAATATAAATAAGTTTAATACCTATAATTTTAATCTGCACTCAATGAGTATGGGTTCCGGAGAAGCAAAGAATGAATTCGAAGCTCCAAATAGACCAAACCTGACTATACACTTTCACTGTTAATATTGCAAATGTTTGTCACGTAAACATAATTATTCGTGCAATAATGTTAGAATGACTAGATTTTCACTTCTGAAGACTATGGGGATTGAATGAGTATAGTGCATTTAAGAAAAAGAAATCTTCCTTTACACCTGAAGGAGTGGATGGAATATTTGAAGAAAATTTAAATTTGTTTTATATTTTCACTTCTGGAGACGATATGGATTTAATTATTATGAGCAATTTAAGTCTCTTATAAGAAAATTCAAATGTTTCCTTTACACTATTATAGTTCCTTACTA